TGGCTGAAGGTTCATTATTGTTGGATTTCCGTATAGTTCAATTTTCTGTGTTTTTGTTTTGTTTTTGTTACTAAAACTTTGTTGTCTTTAAATTTGGCTGTGCGAGGAGGCACAATGTTTCTACCTATGCCTCCATTTGGTCAGAAGTCCCAGCTAGTTATTATTTAAAATGTATTAATTGTATTTAACTATTAATAGGTTGGTACAAGTATTTTACCTAAGCCAAATAAATTTCCTAGCTGGAAAAAATATTGACAAACTCCATTGATTTCAGGGTTAAAAAATAAAGAAAATATGGATGTACTTTTAGTCATAGGTGGTTTTTTTATTGCAAATGAATCATTTGAGACTGGATAGTGTTAGGGAGTTGAAGATTTTTAAAATGAAAACATATTTGTGAGCTTACAAGGGTTTTTATCAACCAATAGTCATTAAGCTAATGATCAATGATAAAAGTGAAGACTTTTTGTCAAAGAAGCAATGAGGTTTGCTTGAGGTATATAGAGCAAAAAAGTGGTGAACTTGTACTTCCTTGCTCTGTCTATTAGCCGTTACTTCCACACTTACACATTAGGTGTATAAAACATGCATAACATTTAATCATATTTTCTGAGAGCAACACCCTAGAGCCAGGGGCAGCAGTAGACCAGTGATAACAGGAGTGAACTGGAGCAGAGAAAGCCAGGCAGGTAACATAGAAGACCACACATAAAAATCTGTGGGTGGAGAGAGGGTAAGTTCAGACATCTGGATGAGGAGGGGTTCATAGATCTGGGAAGTCAGAGGTGTGATTAAGGGCACATTTTCTAAATCCAGTTAGCCAGGCAAGTCTGGGTGAGATATCAGCAAATAGAACTCCATAAAAATAAACCTAATCCCAAGGCAAAGTTGGGCCTGTTGGCCTGAACTGCAAGAGGGACAGTCCCATACCAGAACCTTCTAACCTCCACACTGTTGATATCTGGAGCTGGGTAATTCCTTGATGTGGGAGGCTGTCATGTGCTTCGTAGGATGCTTAGTAGAATGATTGGCCTCCACTCAGTAGATACCACTAGCCCCTGCTTTTCCTCCAATGTGGAAACCAAAAATGCCTCAAATGTTCCCTGAGAGGTAAAATCACCCCTACTTGAGAAACACTGCTATGAACAAATGTAGGTTTCAATAATGTGACAGAGGGAGGAAGTCCGACCATGATATCACTCCAATGTGCAACATCAGGATTCTTTACTGTAGTTCCAAACTATAAGTTTGACATTATTGGGAGGAGAGTTCATATCCCTAAAATCTCTATTGAGACTTAGATTGTAATTAAAAAATATATTGTCCATAGTCCCAGTGAATGAAAACTATATACAATAAATCCTTCACACTAAAAATTATAAACCTTTTATGTTAAGAACAAAACAGATTTCTGAGTTGTATCATACAAATACTACTTGCTATAGGCCATGTACTGGTACAGTATAATTATAAAATATTTATGACCAAAGTGTATGATAATTCCATAAATTTGCAACATTAGAATTCCAAATAATACATATAAGAAGAAAAGGTCAAATGTGGTTCACCCTCAGCAAGATATAAAACTGTTGGGGAAAAAATGTTGGTTTCTTTCCTTCGAGATTCTTACTACATTTTCATGATGGGCCTGTTAGGGGCTGGGTGGTATCCCCTGCCCCCCAACCTCCCACCCAAATATATATATGTTGAAATCCTAAGACCCAATACCTCATAATGTGACTGTTTTGAGAGATAGGGTCTTTAAACAGGTAATTAAGTTAAAATGAGGTCTTTTGTGTGGGCCCTAAGCCAATATAATTGGTTTTATTATGAGAAAAAGTGACTGGGACACAGACATACACAGAGGGAAGATCTCATGAATGTGGATCTACAAGCCAAGAAGAGAGGCCTCAGAAGACACTAAACATGCTGACACCTAAAGTCTGGATTTGTAGCCTCCAGAATTGTGATGAAATACATTTCTGTTGTTTGAGCCACCCACTCTGTGGTACTTGGTTACAGCAGCCCTAGCAAACTAATACAGGCAACTTTCCAGTCTTCCTCATGGCCATGCTGTAAGGTCTTTGACTTCCTCATGACCACTTTCCTGCTCACCTAGAGGTAATAGCACCACACTGACCAAGTGATTTACAGTTTAATTTTGAGATCTATAAAGTAACTATTTAACTCAGGAAAGACTTCATGAAGACAGCTAGAGGTATTAGAATGAAGAGAAGCATGGCAGCTTTGAAAAATGGTGGGCACTAGATGAAATCAGAAATAAGACTTTCTCAATGTTCCAAATGCATCTGCAGAGTTGAACTCATCCTTTTCTGAAGACACTTTGAGGAAATTAACCTGTTATCACTTGTGCAATGACAAATGTCATTGCCAATTTTAAAATATAACTCCATTGCTCCATAGCTATATACCTCATTATTCTCAAGTATGCATCATTTTCTATAGCTCAAAAAGTAAGGTTAATAAAATGTCTACTTTTTCAGACTTATGAAGATGGAGTAATTTAGCCCATGTATCTAGCTAATAGAAAGCAACTATAAATATTAGCTGTTATTCTTATCACTAATATTAGGTAGTGGTTATACATGTGTTATACCTTTAATATGACCTTTTCTAGCCTAACTTATAGTGTTTTCTCATACATTTTGTTTCAGATCCCTAATTATGAAATTTAATACATGTGATTACCCCCCAAACACCAAGATTTGGTCTAATATAAAAATGACGTTTTCTCCTTTGAACTATTATCATCATTGCATTGGAAAGGGTTAAGAAGTCTAGTTAGAGGTACCCTGAATAAGTCAGTCCAGGGAGAATATATGGCAAGTCAGAAAAAATATATTCTAATCAAAGCTGGTACTGTTATAAATTAACCATAAATTTAAATTATGGACAGATAATGGAGATCATCTATATTAGCAGTCACATATTCCATTAGAAATTACCTTTATTTCATATTGCATAATTAGAATTTACAAATGGCTGTTGCCTCAGCATTACAGAAATATTCAACAATTTTGGAGGATTTGACATTTAGTTTAAAATGCACTTATTATTATAAATATGCACTGGAAATAGTTCCATGAATGTGCCATGATTGAAAGCATTGATGTGAAACTAAATATGATGTTATTATTTCATTGGCTCAAGTATTAAAATACATTTTGGATTTATTTAGTATAGCAATATTTCAAACAATCATTTATTTGCATAGTTATTAATATATTCTAAACTCTTAAAATTGCCTCATTTTAAAAAATTGTAGTATGATTTTTGGCTTTGCATCATTAGAAATACCTGCTAATGGATAGATTTGTTTTAATATCAATGGATTATACTTAACACAGTTATTTTTTATCTTATGTTAGAGTGAAATCAAGTTTTCATTTTAGAAGACAAGAATGAAAATTGTTATCATTTTTAAACATATCAAAGAGTCCAAAATTTATAAAATATGCTGCGATGTTGACAAGACATGAGAATATTTATACCACACACCATGACAAGTCACATTTTTTAGATAAATAAACTTTCTAAAGACTATTTAAAGTTGCAGAAATGCAGACATAATCAGCTGACTGTGGTTATGCAGAAAATAAAAGTTTAAAACAAGGAGACTGAGACAGAAAGAATATGCAGAGAAGAATTTATTAAATTCAACTCATTATCAAGAGCTATCTATTAAATAGTTGTAAAGTGCTTCACTATGATATAAAACATCTAGTTGTATATAAAATAAAAAAGCTAAAATGAAAAGAGGAAGAGAAGAAGAAAGAAAAGGACAGAAAAATACCCCAATCACAATCCTCTTCTTCATCACAGGGGAGTATTTCTGAATTTACATTATGTTATAATTAGGGAAATACTATAATTAATGTTCTGAATTAAATGCACTTAGCAGATTTACCTTTAAATTGGAGAAGGACTTCAAATTACCCAGAAAAACTTTGTCCACTTTGAACATCAGCAGAGTTGAGCACCTGTAGCAGTTGCCCTCCCTGATCTGTAGGCAGGGTGTCCTCTCTGTTGTGTGGCTCTGATAGACAGTGCTTAAGAGGGTGAATGTGTGCCAGCACCCTCCATTCACTCCTTCCTACCTCTTACACTTACATAAAAATCCACTTGAAATAGACATGAAATCTTTGAAAGAAAGGTTTCTGAAAGGCAGGTGCCACCAATGCTTACAGTAACTTGAAATGTCCTGGAAGTCATTTTTACTGTGGCTGAGTAAAGCACGTCGGTACCATACCTTTACAGTAAAAAATAGCAAGGCATTAAATAAGCCTCAGCCTTCCTAGACTGGAAGAGAGACAGTGAGGAGAAACATACAAATTAACCAGATTCAACTAATGGCATAGTCAATCAATGTACAGCCCTCAGTTACGGTTCTTTAATAGTAGCCCTGAGTTTTTACTGACATGCACAAAGATAAATGTGAAATAAGATGAAGAGAACCTTCCTCAGATTGCCCTAGACAATGCTTCCACCTTCATTGCAATTTGGGCCCAGAAAATTGAGGGGAATAGGGTTCTAATGCAGGAAGTTTAAACTGTGGCTACAAACATAAATGTGCTTCTCACCATTTCCATCAAAGGTATTAACATGGTAGATGTAGACACAGATCTGGACAACTTGTAAGTTTGGAGAAGAAATCACAGATCATGCAACTTAGGGCCAGAACAAGAGCCCTTAGAAGCTACTTGACCAAGTCTCTCACTTTTGATGTGAGGAACTGATACTCAAGAGATTAACTGATGTCCCCAAGACAACACAATGACCTCATGGGACAGAGAGATCTAGGGCCTAGATTTCCTGTCATCACGTTGACTTCTTAAAAACTATGGTGAGTTTCCCATGGTGATTAGTGCATGGAGATTACATTTGTTACAGTCTTTAAGATGTGAAATGAAACAGAAATATAAGTGATGCCTCCACTTGTTCAATCCTCAATTCCAAAAGAAACAAATTGCTTTACTCACCTACAGGGAAAAATTCGTTCATTTTCTTTTTGTAGATTTTGAAGTCAACTTCTAGGAAGACACAGAAGATGATTCGATCCACCTAGAGGCAAACAATAAACACTCAAAGTAAAAGTAATATGGTAACTGCCTTTTCTGAACATGGCCTGAGAACAAAAATCAAGTGGAGAAGCCTCATACAGATTTTTGGTGCTGTGTTACTAATTACATGACAGCATTGAGGGAAGTTCAAGTTTGTGTGTGTGTATTCTTTATGTAAATAAACCTATGGGCTGTTTGGTGGGTAAATGTTATATAAATCAAATAAAAAGTAGTAAATGACAATAAGCCATTTTGCAGCAAGCTATAAATAAGATCTGAGATTTTGACAGGGTACCTAGACTTTATTTCTTATAAAAGAGCCACATGAGAGTGTGCAGCAGAATGACAATAAAGTATGTCAGTATCAAAGCTCTTTTTCCTCCCCTTGTTAAACAAATCTATTTATTGAACCTGATGTATTTAAATACAGACTAAAAGTCTTGCAGTTTAATTTGCATGAAGTCACTTGCTCATAGCTTGACATACTCAGAAATGCAACAGAAATAAAATACAATTAATTGAGTTATATGAGGCCAATAGAATTTTAATCTGGTAAGTGTTATGGAGTAATTAAATACCACCTCAAAAGTAAAATGTGTGCACAGCCCCTTTCTCTGCTTTGAGAGAGTTTCTTCATGTAAGGAGTTTCTTTGAGACATGCAGAGGGTAATATGGTAAGCAGAGGAGAGAGATGGCATGTGGGCAGTAACACACGTATATCTGATATTGAATCAGTGACTCAATTTTGTGTCTTGAAACAAATACCCCATTTAGCTCCTTTATTATAACAATGTAAAATAAGTTAAAAATTACTCAATCTATCAAACTACAACTGGTAATTGAACAGAACATCAAGTGAGGCATTTCTCATGACAGTAAGGAATGGAAGTGGGATGTGCACCTGGCCCTCTGCTTTCCCAGACTATGGGGTATAGATTCATGCTAGCCCAGTCCAAAGTTCCCAGTAGGGGAGAAGGTGTACAGGATTGGGAGCAGGGAGGGTGGGCCAGGACATAAGAAATCATCAGGGTTCCCTGATGGAAACTCAGAGATGTGGCTCCCTGATCCCAAGTTTGGACCTGTGCTAGATACACTGCTCCTGGACACTCGCTGGACTTCTGTGGCATTATCACCACAGACCATAAAGTCCCTGCAACTTCCCACATAGGATGGATGTAAGAGAAAGCACCTGGCCTTCCAAAATGGAAGGACTGGTGTGCAAATGTCCATTATTTCTTTTCCTTGCATTCACTTGAGTTTCTGGTGTCCAGTCCTAAAAGCATATCATTAATATTTTCTTCAAATGCAAAAACTGCCACCATCAACTTCTTAGGTGAACTATAGATTTAGTTGCATAAATAATTAACTATCTGTGCAATACTAAATGCTAGCCTCTACTCTTCTTATGGTACATTTATGGCCTGTGGCTAAAAATAAAAATTACAATGTTGAGCAATAGAAATGAGTTCCAGAAATATATCTACTCCATGATACTATTTATATAAGTTGTTAAATCATGAAGATACAATGGGTAGGGACTCATTCATAAGCATGAATATACAGAACCATACATAGGAATGTCACACATGAACTTCAGCATGATGATCTCTGGGAAGGGAGGGCAGATAGAGATGTGGACCAATAAGGCTCTAACTGAATAGTTCATGTTTATTTAGAAGGAAGAAATTTCAATAAATATTACAAATGGGTAATAGCTATTAACCATGGGGTTAAGTACCTGGTTATCATATCATTTTCTATGCCTTTTATATATTTAAAATACTTCGTAATTAAAAGTTCTATCTCTAAAAATAAGACTTGTGTTAGATATAACTCCAGCTGCACTGCAATACTTGTAGTTTCCAAACACCATAAGTATTCTCATTTTTGTGCCTATGATGGTTGACTTCTTCTCCAGGCTTCAAATGGTCAGATTTTTTCTAAAACCACCTAAATGAGATCAAGAGCAAAACAACAAAATTTGACTTGAAGCAGATCTAAGAAGACCAAGCTAGACAATCTCATTTATACTCATTCCCCCTATTTTTATGGTCATATAGTATAAATTTTAGAATTCTTTAAACATTCATGTAGTCTATATCTTTGTGTATGTGTGTACACTGTGAGTGTGTTTGTGTGAAGGGTTAATGATAATACTATTTACTGCTATTAAGTGTAATTTTAAACACCACGCAGACTAAATAGAGATTTTTAAATATTGTGAAGAATTATAATCTACTTCCAGAATTTTTGGCTTTGTTACCATGGAAATTATATGGTTCCAAAATTCAGCAGCCTGATTTATTTTCCCAGAGAGATGAATGATGAGGAAAAAAAGTACTTTTACTTTAAACTGATTGAGTGACCCATTTACTTGCTGTAGCCTTCAGAAATACCACTAAAAATAACTTGGAAGGAAAATGAATGCAAGAATTAACTTTATTTACCAAGTACTTGTTATGAGTGCACATGTGTATGTATTTATATGTGCATGAACAAACATGTTTTCTGTTGGTTAAGACTCATTTTTGGTTACAAGCTCTGTGTCCATAAACTTATCATGGGTATTGATCAGTGCTTGTGGTAGACAGTGTTTTCTAAGATGGTGTGCAGCAAGATGCCTGGTCCCTTAGGCTCCTCTTTAAATGTAATGCTAATACTCCTCTCATTGAGAGGTGGGATCTTTATTTCCTTCTCTTGAATCTGGAAGTGTCTTTAGCTCTGGCAAAAATGATATGTAACTTCTGAGTCCATGTCATAAAAAATGATGTGTTTTCTTCCTGGTCCTCTTTGAAGGTTCATTCTTGTACCCAGTCATCATGCCAGGATGAAGCAGATACCACCTGAAAATCCACATGTAGAAGTTCTAGCCAATAGCCTAGATGAAAGTGAGTAGCCTCTAGATGTTTTAAGCTCCTGGTTTTTGAGCTACCCCAGATGATGCCACATGGAGAGAGATAAGCTGTTCTTGCTGAATGCTGCCCAAACTGCAGATTTGTGAGTAAAACATAAAAATACATTCCTAGAAATCTGGTATTCTCTCAGCTTTTTCCTATTGTTATTTTTTTTGGTATTCTTTCTGTTTTAGCTATGTGACACTGGACTCCTGCTAAAAAGTTCAGACTGGATGAATCAAGTAGAAGCCAGAATGGGGTGACAAAAATGTATAAAAAGTCTAATTGCTACATGACCAAGAGACTGGAAATCTGATGTGTGCAAAGGAGGAAGGACCTGGGGGATCCATTCTAGTCCCAGATAAATTTCATGAGAATACATAAGAATGCCTAACAATTGAGCCTCAGGGCCATGTTTTTAATTTATCATTTATATTAGGCACTATGATAATTTTATAAGGTTTTAATGGTTTTATTAGGTTGTTCCTGAGAGACTATGTTTATTCATTAATTCATTAGATATTAACTGAGCGCCTTCAATTTGTTGGGCCTAACTCATGTGCCATTCTATCACAAGAAAGCTTGAACCCAGAATTGAGCAATTATTTTTCCCAAGGCCAAACAATTAATTAGTGTAAAAATCTCAGGCATCTCAACTTTACATGCAGCATTCCTCTGCGATATCACCCAGATCAAGACACACAGGACTGAGTTTCTACACCTGTCACCAGCTCTGTGACACTGAATAAGCCATCATCTCTCTGGGCCCCAGTGTTCATGCTGTTGTAAAGAAAGGATTGAATGGTATCCTATTTTTAATTTTTTTCAATTTCTGTTATAGTCTCTCTCTGTGGTGGTTTTTGTACACCATGAACATAGGTAATCTAAATGTCTCTGGGTTAGAGTTGGGCACAGAGAAACTTCCATGTGATTTGGAGGACAGAAGTGCAGCTGCGATCATTGCACCAGGCAGGTGGGTGTAGGACATCAGACTCTGGGCTGGTTATTCATGTGTTGCTCATCAGTTGACCTACAGTTCCCATAGCTACTGCTGGTCCTCCTGTCTCAGGTTGTTTGAGTCTCTGGCTGAGTAGACATACAGTTCTGATGTAAGGCCTCTAGCTCCTCTTCAGGAAATTGCAGTTTGGGGGTTCCACGCACTGAGAGACAGAAGCATTTGGCAGTTTGTCCCTATAGGTTCTAGTTTGCCTTCATGGCTTTTACTTTGTCCTTGTTCTTTTCAATTTTGCCTCTGTCTTTCCTTTTGACTGTCTCCTAACATGCCCTTTGACTACCTGCCCTGCTGGCATACTCCTGGCCTGATCAGATGCATAGAAAATGGCCTTTCGTAAACTTCTTTGCCATCTCCCTATCATGGGTCCTTATTATAAGCTATGTTCTGCTCAGCCAACCATCCACTGGACATTTACTTCCCCAGCTGTCCCACAATTTTATAAACTCTAATCTCTATAACAAATCCTTTATTCCATATCACCGACAAGGTTCAGCTTCCCTTGTTAAATTTTGACTGACATAATCTGTATCATTTAATGTCATATCATTGAAGATCATGTAGAGGAGCACAGTGAAGGGCAAAAAATAATAAGTGTTCCTTTTTGGAGGCAGTGTAACCTGTCAAGGCTACTCAAATTCCAATTGTTTCCTTCAAGATAAACTTTTGGTGGTTTTAGCCCATCTTTTTCATGAACTTCCTGAAAGTGTGCATCCATTCTTTTGTAGTTAAAGCAACTTTGTGTACCTAAAATTACTCACACTTCTTTTTTAGTAGACGAGTTGTCAGTAAACTCAAATGGGCCCACAGGCTAAAAAATAATTGCAAATAATGCAAAAGGCAAAATTAATATTTTTAGAATTAACTGTGTTAATATTATATCTTAAACTAGAACCTGGTGAAGAATTAAGTAGTGCTCATCATTATTCCAGCACATGGTATAGGTCCCAATGGATAATATGAACTGTGAATATATGCAGAGTATTATTTAAGGCAAACACACTTGACTAAAATGTAAGCATATGGCAGATATTTTTTAAGAGTGTTAAGTTCCAGAAGCAAAAGTTAACTTCTTTAAGAGATAGAATTTTCTTT